TTTTTTTTTTTTTTTTTTTTATTAAAATGAAGCCGCACGAAGTGAAATGCACTCGCGTTCGCACGTCCGCTCGGTAAAACACTTTCGCGCTTCCGGTTCTGAACTTTGCAAGGAACCGGATTTTTAAAGGGAGATCCGCATCGGACGAACGACAGCGACGGCGACGACGGCGTCGACAACGATGACACGGAGCTTGACAGTGGACCTTTACGTGGACGTGCGACGTCTCATGTAAAAATGACGACGATATTCTCTCGCGCCGGAACGGCTGCCGGCGGTACAAGGGCGTCGAAGGTCGCAGCTGCGCGTCGCAGCACGCAGGTGCGTCTCTGTTTCTCTCTCTCTCCTTCTTGCTTGTTCACATATTGGTAGCGCGCGCGATTCAGAAACCGCTCGTACATGACACAACGCAACGCCGACGAAAACGACGTCTTTATTTTATTATCGTTAAAATACGCGAGAAGATAAAATGCATTGCTAAAAGACAGAGATGGCAGAGAGAGAGAGAGAGAGAGAGAGAGAGAGAGAGAGAGAGAGAGGGAGGGAGGGGGGAGTCGCTCTTCTCTCAATTGATCGCGTCTTCTTACCGTAATTAGAATGAAGTGTAAGCAGAGATTATAATTTTTCAGATTATTTCATTCAAGAAGATTTCGAAATCATAATTCTTTGAAATTTCGTACATTCATTATATTATTCAAAATTCTAAAAAAGAAAGAGAGAAAAAAAATAATTGGGAAAAGATGATGCCATGACATATGCAGCATTGTTTAATATTTTATATATTAATCTTTCACAGGTACCATACTTTGTAATTAATAGTAGATAAAGTATGGAAATTAATGTCTTACATTTAAGTAGAATGTATGTAGTAAAACATAAATAATTTCTTAGTAGAAATTTATTTTTTTAAATAAGATCATAAATCTTATGGTATCAATAGTTTCTCTCTCTCTCTCTCTCTCTCTCTCTCTCTCTCTCTCTCTCTCTCTCTCTCTCTCTCTTTCTCTGTATGTGCGTTTTAAGAGTATTATAAGCTATTTTAAACTTATATTTAGTTTGGATTCTTAAAATTGTTTGACTTAATTATTTCCGCATAATTTTTTCTTAATTAAAATTATCACGATGTAGAGTACTAGATTATACATGCGCAGAACTTGGAAAAAAAAAACATATGCATATGAAACAAATGCACTCCGAAGCACCGTCAATTAAGCATTTAAAATCAATTTGTGCGAATCTAGAGGACCACCGGACAGTTGCCTTCGCAAAATCAACGTGTAATCAATGATAATGACAAACAAAATCAGTCATTGTAAATCTGTTCGTTGTAGCTGAACTAGTTCAATAGTAAGATTATGAAACTATGAACTAGTTCAACTGCATGCAGTACTTAAAATGAAGCATACAAAATATATATTTGAAATTCAGCGGTATACAATAAGGAAATCAAGTTTGCAATGCAATCCAGTAATAAATTATGTCGAACTACACCTATATTGTTAAGTATCGTTCAGAGCGATTTAAACTGTTCGACGATTATATGGAAGAGATTCGATGGAACGTCGAAACACGGACCATCCCGACACGCATTTACCGTGAACAAGTAATAATGCACTTTAACAAGCTGTGCGAAGAACGTGATGCTGTTGCGTGTGTATCGTGAAATAAAAAATTTGGCCAATATCTCTCTCTGGCGGGGGGTGATCGTCGATCGGCGTACGTTCCTGGCAGAATCGCAAGATTCGCCACGAGAGGCGCAGCGTCGCGACGCTCGCCTTCCTCGTTCTCATACTGTACTGCAGATTATGCCGCATTGCCGCAAACGTTCGTCATCGACGCGACCCGAGGGTCGTAGCGGCAACGGCAGCGGCGGCAAGCGGATACCAGCGGATACGGCGAAACCGGAATGTTGACGCGAGACACGGTGCCGTCGCGAAAGACGATGAGAGGATCACGACCGCGGAGCCGGGTCGTAGCCGATGAGATGAAAAAAGAAGAGGGGAAAAAATAAGAAAATCAGAAAGAGCAGAGAAATAAAGAAAATATAAAAGCACAAGTTCACCTACCTTGATTACCGTCAGGGACCTGACGATCGGCAGCGCGAATATGAACATCCGTCGGTTGCCCGGTTTCATGTACCACTACAAGTTCGCGACGGTCCTCCTGATGTCTAGCCTGTTCCTCGTCGTTTATCTGCTTCTACATTGGGGGATAATGTGCACAAATCTCGAGGCCTGGCGTCACGTGTCTACTGTGGTGAGTTCTCACTGGGGTGTTACTCCGATCGGAACAGCGCGCGCTATATCGCATCCTCGAAACGCGATACCGATCAGCGCGAGGAGGATAAAGTTGGCATGGGGGTGAATCGGGTCGAATACCGTCGAGATTGAGAATGGTGAAGGTGTGCGAGTCGAGTCGGAGTCAGTGCGAGTGAATCCTGCGCCCGCCGCGCCGGATTCGACGAAAGGGGATGAACGGGGATGAACGGGGATGAAAGAGCGAAGCGGACGCACGCGTACTCTGCCGCAGCCTCCGGAACGGAGCAAGCATGCCGATCACCCCGATCATCTCCGCAGCTTATTTCTACGTCTTACTCGCATACGATTATTTCAACCAAGCGTGTACGTACATTCGCTCTTTCGGATTTTCTCTACTTCGTTTTGCGAGTGAAAAGCGCAAGAAAAAGCGCCCGGCTGGCAAACAAAAAGTACAAGTTCAGTACAAAGATCAATTAAAATTTAATTTGCGTTCGCAGAGGTCATTGATAAAATGTGGACTCCTACGATAAAAATTGTAAACTTTATATGATTCACTGATAAACTTATCATTACGGAAGAGAAAGTCAAGTGTGCTCTTGGCCCGAAACTGGAAAGTTCAGCTTTCCAGAAAATTGGCTGGAGAGAGATAACTTATCCGGAAAAAATTTGCTTACAATCGACTTTCATATATACGTATATCGTTTTGACTGAATAATTTCATGATAAGCATTTAGGAATTTATTGACGGGAATTTACTTGTAAATTCAATAAATAACATATCGAAGGACTCTCTCTATACAAAATAAATAATAATAAGTAACGGGCAAAGTAAGAGTCAACAAGTTTCTTTGAAATTTAATTTCAATTTGAAATAAATTTCAAAGAAACTTGTTGACTCTTACTTTGCCCGTTACTTATTATTATTTGTTTTGTAAATTCAAATTGCGGTAATAATCTGGTAAGACTATGCGTCCTAGTAACCCAAATAGTATTTTAGACGTCAATCTCCATAAAATATCCCTAATTTTATCGAGATCGATCCATACTTGAATAAGAAATTTCTAAAATGTTTCGAAATACTTAATAATGT